AGTAAAATAAGAACTAATACGGCAGAAATTTATATAAACAAGGATCATTTCATTCATAACGGATACGGAGGTTTTTGTATATTATTTGAATTGTTTGCGATGATGGATGTCTCGCCATTTAAATCATTAACCTTTGCATTAGTTTTTGTGAATAATTCATGTATTTGTAAATTGATTGCACGTTTATCGTAATATATATATATATATATATATATATATATATATATATATATATATATAACTCTTCAGTTAAACAAGATATCCGATTGGATCAATTTAATCTAACAAAAAAATACTAAACCATGCAATATTTTTTATCATTATTGCATATTGTTTAAATTTTAAAAATTAATTTATGTCCTCTGAACATTTCAACTCATGACCGAAATGTGACGTCACATTTCTATTATGACTTGTTGTCATTTATTCAGTCGGTGCCTTTTGTGCCTTTGTGGTCACCACTCCACTCTAATCTCACTATTGTTGTTTATGGTGATATTCAAGGCAGAATACTGTAATGACTTGTTGGTTCCTTTTGCACTGTGGATGTTAAAGAGACGTGACCCACAAGGCAGCAGGTGGTTTGAATTAAGCGTTTTCCTTCCCCTTAAACTGGGGATGGTATATAGAGGACGAGCGCTGCTCAGACTACATCCCCGCTCCACATATCGGTCGTACAGACAAAATCCAGAAAAACTAATTATAAAATAATGAAAAAAGTAAAGATAACATTATTTCATAATAAAGTTGGAGAAGATCTTTATGTTTTTTTCTCTCATTATTTAATATTTATTAAGGAGTGTACTTCATCTGAACATTTTTCGTTCCTAATATATTGTATTTTAGAATCCTTACATCAAAGTAGTGGTCAGATTTTTATTGAATGAAAATACGTTTAGTATTGATATTAGCGTCGACATCAATGCTAAAGAAGCAAAAATAAACAAGCATGATGGTACTTGCGTGAATTTTCTTAATTTGAAATGAATTAATGCTATACAAGTATGATGTTGCTAAGGTGAATTGTCTTAAGTTGAGATGAATCAATGATATACAAGTATGATGTTGCTAAGGTGAATTGTCTTAAGTTGAGATGAATCAATGATATACAAGTATGATGCTCTTACGGTGAATTGTCTTAAAATGAATCAATGATATACAAGTATGATGTTGCTGATTAGATGAATCAAAACAAATTGTCTTAAATGAATCAATGATAAAAATGATGTTGCTGAATAAAACAATTATGGGCAATTATCCAATTATCCACAGATTAGCACACGTGACTCATGGAAGGCAGCATACATATTTATCTTCAAACATTGAAAATCTATTAAATTTATCATCAGATTTCTAACCTGAGCAGAATTCATTTATAACATTTAGATGAACCTTTGTGGCATTTGTATTGTATTTCTTTTCCTCTTTGCTGTATAATTTTGTCAAATATTAATCAATGAACATATCAACAAATATTAACTCTGATCCATTATTAAAATGAACATATTAATATGATCTGGATAAAATTTCTGAGGTATAATCAAACTAATCAAATGAATAAAAATCCGCGAATATTTTTAAGTACATATTCATTATATCTGCCATAATTTTTTTTGATTTCGGGTGAGTGGGAAATAAAGAGAACTCAATTCTACATTCAAGGATTCTACAATACAACATTGACGACAAGGTCGATACAAATAATGTTATCAATGATGAGATATTCAACTTAGCATATTTGAATACTAGCAAAATCCTACTCACTTCACCCAAAAATCTCACTGTGCTGATCTGATACTTTTCCACTAATAAAATATACATTTTAAGATGATGATTTTGTTTCAAGTGAAAATTGACAGATGGAATCTATATTTCCTGAATTGTTAGACTTAATATCTCATTCTTGATTACATTTTGTCGTGTCTTCTATAGTTTACAATAAGAAGACCTGACGGCCACTCGAGATAATAAGAGGCACAGATGCTAATCAAGAACAAGGACCACTTCGCACCTGAGGCATACAGGCAGTTTTCACAGCGTTACATCAAGCTACCTCACATATACTGACTTCCAAATATTCACAAACACAGCATTCCGCTCTGGCCGATTGTTAACTGTCAAGGCTCTGCATGCCACTCCCTGAGTTGCTTCCTTGTAGTTATAATAGACTCATTAATAGGAAAGTCACCATCGTATGTCCGGAACTCCGCCCACTTCGTGGAAATGATTAAAGATGCTCCCATCCAATCCAATCAGATGGTGAGCCTGGACGTAGTGAATTTGTTCACCAAGGTACCCACGGAGGAGGCATTCTCGGTATTCAGGGATAGACTGGCCTCAGACTCATCCCTAGGAAAACGGACCAGTATATCAATAGCTAACCTGATGGAGATTCTAACTTTCTGCACGCAAACGAAACACTTTGGAATGAGATCAGATATATATCGATAGGATGAGGGCTTAGCAATGGGCTCGCCATTATCACCAGCAATGGCAAACCTATATATGGAATACTTTGAGGAAATGGCATTAGAAACTATATCACTAAAGCCAACGCTATGGCAGAAATACGTAGATGACACCTTTATATTCTGGTCACATCAAGAAGACATCCAGACACTACTGGACCATGTGAACTCAATAAGATCATCGATACAGTTCATAATGGAGGGAGAAAACAACCACAAACTCGCCTTCCTGGATGTACTATCTTGAATAGAGGATTGGTTCAAGACATCCGTATACCGCAAGCCTACATTCACTGGACAATACCTAAACTTCAACTTCCATCACCCATGCAGTGTAAAGAAAGGGATCGTCCGCTGCTTACAACATCGAGAAAAAGTCATAAGTGGCGACCCAGAGATACATGAACAAGAAATGGTCGGTATAAGCAGTACCCTAAAACGTAACAATTATCCCGGGTACATGACTGCAGCTCCGACAAACTGGGATAAAAGGGTGCAAGAGGATGACAACACTCAGAAAACAGCTTCAGTCTGCCTACCTATGTGAAGAGATTATCGGAGAAAATACAGAAGATCTGTGGTCCATATAACATCCGAACAATCTTCAAAAATGGTTCAACACTTCGCAGACACCTCTCAGAGTAGGAAGCTCCCCCCACCATAGAGGAAAACATGACAAAGGAATGTGTGTACGCCATCCCGTGCAGCTGTGGTAAGAAATATAAAAGAGAAACAAGCCACCCACTTATAGTAAAATTGCAAAAACATCGTAAAATGGTAACATGAGGGGAAATAAAAAAAATCAGGCGTAGCTGACCATATATGGCGAAAAAAGGGAGATAACCGCCCCCTTGGGATTAGGTTGAAATAATTGACAGAGAGCATAACTGGAAAATACGAAAACTTAAGGAATCAGCACATATGCTAAGCCACAAAAATCTCCTGAGCCGACCAAGCATAGAAATTAAAACAATATAAGAACCAGTAATAAGGAGTGCGAAAATAAAAGCAATGAATAACAACACAAAATTGCAAGATAAGCTCTGTTAAAAATATGTAATAAGAATAACGGAAAAATTGCAATATGAGCACTGGTAAAATGGTTGCTGAGACATAAGGTTTGTACGACCCAGAAATTCATACACTGATCTCCTCAAGGACACACGTTGAATAAAGGCGTTGGTTCAATCCAGTGACTAGACCCAAAGAGCTGTGAATTAAATACGAGGCTACAGGAGTGGTGAACCAAAAACTTGGAGAGCTGAGTTAAAGGGAAATAACTGAGACATCCGGAAGAGGCATGGTATGGCAGAACAATCTATCCCGGTGGATGGAATAAAGGGTTCGATTCGAAATTTTAATAAGATGCAAGGTGTTATAGGGTGTGTAAAAATTAGGAACAGAAATATTAATAGTGAGCAGAAAGAAAAAGGGGTAATCAGGAGGTAGATAGCGATTGAGATTGCATTCAAATCTTTGCAGATTAAAGTTGGTTGGAAAGCATGGAGACAGAAGGGAGTTCCACAAGCGAGAAGTGCGAGAAAAGAAACTATTAGTATAGAACTTCCGGCTACATCTAGTCAGCTCAACTGTAAATTGATGAGATCTCGACGCCAGTCTGGTACGACGCTTAAATTCATAAAATCTTGGCACCACAGCAAAAAGCTCCTCCGATCAATTAGAATGAAAGAATTTTATAAAAAGAAAAAGAGAGGTAACTTTACGGCGGTTACTGAAGCCGAGCTGCCAGATCAGGACCAAATTGCTGATTCTTCTATGGATCTTATCATGGAGCTCAAGATAAATAGCAGGGTTACCGGACCATATGTGCCATCAATACTCTAAGCATGGACGAATGGTAGATTTATAGATATGTAAGATAGATCCCAGAGAGAAAAACTGTCTCGCCCTACACAGAGAACTGATTTTCTTAGCAGCTGACCTAGCAATGGATTCAATATAGTCTTTCCACTTCATGTCAGCTGTGAACATTAGCCCGAGAAGGCGCAGCAATCTAGTTTCCTGAAGGTTAGCATCAGCCATACTGATGAAAGGCAGAGAGGAGTTTCTCAGATGATTAATGGAAATATGTTTAGTTTTGGAGGCATTAAAAGTGATAAGCCATCTTTTTTTCCCAGTTGACAACCGTCTTGAGGTCGTTTTGGGCATCAGATGCCATTTTGTCTTTGTCGGACTAATCAGCCTCACTATCGAGCCAGAAGTAAATGGTTGTGTCTTCAGCGTAGAAACCAAGTTGAGAGCTGATATCATCTGGAAGTTCGTTAAAGAAAATTAAAAAAAACTTAGGCCCAAGAATGGAGGCCTAGGGGGACACCCGCGAATAGTCATTGACTTAACGCTCCATGATCTCCCATTTTGACAGTATGAATAAAGAATACTTGTCGGGTTTATTTGCAACGAAAAATTATCGGAGGTAGGTTTTGTGCAAGGTTTTCGAATGTATCGACAAACAATTCGAACGGAACTGCAATTCCCTTTTATTTGTTATATCACTGTCTACATTTTTTAATCTCTGAAAAACCGGTTTCCGTACGGTCACCGAAATTAAGCAACGTTGAGCCTGCCCAGCAGCATGATGGGTAACCGCTCGGGAATACCAGATGTTGTAGGCTATAATGTGCGGGTGTTATAATGGATAATGGCTCGGAATTATTAATCGGAGAGCCGAGTTCCAATTCTCGTTGGGTCCGTTATATTCACTTACACGCAAATACCCTTAAGAAAGTTAGGAATCCACCACTTCTTCTCACTGCTGTGTTAGTAAAACTCGTATCACTAAACCATTATTATCTCAAAATAAAATTCCTACAATCTGAAAATATTTTATGAATAAACTGCAAAGACTTGATAAGCCTTAGAAAACGAAACACTCATAAGTCATTAAAAATACCTGTTGCATCGATGTGGTATTAAGGAAGAAATAATACTAATCTGACTGTATAGGTAAGTTTTCCAGTACAATTATCAATGATTCCAGTTAACTGTTTTTGTTTTCTAGGTCTGGATGTTGCGATGTATAAGGAATCTTCTGTTAGTAACCGTTGACAAGTACAAGAGATTATATTTTCATGTGTAAAAATAATTGCATATTCGCTGGAATCCGTCAAATTAACGTCAGCCGGAACGAGGGTATGTGGTTTCGTATCTTTCTTTGAACGTTCGATCTTCTTACGAGGATGTCACTTCCCTTGTAGTTCGAGCATTTATACAACTGCCTGTTATCCGATACTATCCTGTGGATATATTGTGTATATTCTAAGTTCAGATAGTTTCTGTTAGTTCATCAACTGACATCCTTTGAGACCCGCTTCTGCAGTTAGTGACTTTAAGGGGATATTATAGGTCAGCCCCTGAGGATCATAGGTCTTTTGATGTTCTGAGATGTACCCGAGTACAAAATTTTTAGTATCTCTAAGGGTGTGTACATATTGGCGTTACCAAAGATCAAATCTTCTTAGGTCAAATTTCATGATGGATATTAAATTCGATTAACATCACTTGTAATTCCACGCGTGATTCAAATCCTATAAATGTTGTTTTAACTGATTTTTCGATCATTGCTTCTGCTGGTTATTTCCTTCCAGACCTATTCAGATTTATATTTATTATATAAAGCAATTGATGTGATTCAAAATACATGATCTGATTCAGATTTAATGTCACCTTTGTTCTAAGAGGAGGTCTTCTACATTGACCTCAGTTGGTTCTGAACTGAACTTAGATGATTTCAAAATAGACTTTGCATCTGAGCTTCAGTGTAGCCAGATGCATCAGCGGGTTGATATGAAAAGTATTCTCTAAGCCACCAGGTGCAGATTGTGCCTCAAGGGATATCAGTAGCTGCCAATGATTTCCCCTCAAGCAAACAATAATGCCTTAGTAAACTCAGGGGCTTAGTGAATAAGAATATGAGAAAGAGATAAAAACATTATTAAGGAGAGATAACAATAAAAGAACAGACAATAACAATTGATGTTGCATTTAAATTTTTGTAGATCAAAGAGATGGAATATACTCGTGAGAAGAAAAATCCACATTCGGAGAAAACCACTAAAACCACACACCTACTTGCCTACGTATAACACATTAGTCGAGTGTTCTTATTTGTCTGTACAATGATAACATTACACAAGATGAACATTTTCACTATAATATTTTATCACACGTCTTCTTTTATATGCCACATCCCTTCAGGACATAGAGGATCATGGCTCTCCAAAAATTCCTGTCTACTGTAGACCTTATTTCGCCCCACCCACCGTTCCACCGTCCATTCAAACAAGCTCGTCAGGTAGATAGCTAGCAGCCTTACACTATCTCTCTGGCCTTCAATAAAAAGCATTTTCAAATGTAACCCAAAACTTGCTGCTTGGTCAGATCACCGGTTGTTTGCTTAGGTTGAGTCGTTTTCGATATTATGCAGTTGCAATAGTCAATAAATTTTACTGAAGTGAACTGCGTGTCCTTATTCGAAACCAGTATTTTCATTATGACAGACCTTGAAAAAAACTGTTGAAGATAAAATGCTAAGTAAATAGATTGGTTGTCGTTCTGTAACGATGTTTGGTCGTTTGAAAAAGGAACCTATGACAACGAGATAATAGTCGTTATCAATTATTTTCGCATAATCAGTATCAATTCTCGGCTAGGGAGTTTCTACTCAAGGTTGTAATTTTGCTCAAGGTAGGGGTGTTTTTTTATTGTATAGAAAAGTATATTGCAAAAAATATATAAATATAATTTAAAAAAGGGAGAGAAATGACGAGATGAAAGACCGTGTGTTCGATTTATAAGGTTGAAAGATTTATTTATTAATCATAACTTACTTTAGAAAGAAAAAAAAGATATAAAGCGGGCAAAGGTCAGCAAGTTTGAAAACACTTCATAGCTTTTAGGGGTTTTAAGAAATATTGTTTAAATTATATCTAATCGTATGCATTGTTCACTGCACCTGGGTTGGACAACAATCAGGATTTGTTGAACTGTTCGTGTCCTTGTTCTCCTGGGAAATAAATGAAAGTTCTGTTGCTTTTTTTGAAATATTTCTTCTGAATGTCTCTAAAGTTGTTGTTTTCGACAATGTTGAACAGAGTAGAAAAGTTGCGGTTGTAGTGGTAGTAGCTGTTGCCTTTTAGACACTTTTACAAAGTGAACATCAATCGTAATGTTGACGATGCGTGGTTTTACAAGGATACTCCTTGTCATTCCGAAGAGTTCTCTTTGCTGGTATTATTACACCCATGCCAAAAAGCTTCATTAGTCAAAATTTATGGGAATGTGATTGGTTCCAGTAGATTGCGCGCCATTTTCTCGAGAAGTTATTTTTTATGTAAGCGAAGGATTTCTCAACGGCATGTTGATTTTTTGTAAATATAGGTAGAAATTTTAAGATTGTTTGATTTCATCTTGGTGTTCATCTTTCTTTTTCATGGATTTGACCCAAAAGAAAATTGTGAATACAAATACATTGATTTTAGCACGAATATTTGTTTTCCATTTCCTTCTAAGTTGCTTGCGTATTAGTAAAATATGTACAATGGATCTTCCCTCACGCTTGTAACCATCCTTCACAATAAAATAAATGTTTTCCATCACTAAAGCTGAATGAATCAAATAAAGCTTCATAAGCTTCTGATTAGAGTTGTTACTATAGGGTGTACAGTAAAAAAAAAAGGCGGCAATTTCAGAAAGAAATTTATATAGCTATAACGATTCATGCGCAAATTGAACAATCAGCGTAGATGTTCAAAATATTTGTCTCAATGGTCTACACAAAGTTGTAAGCGTGGTAACTAGGATGCAGTAGCTTTGTGTCAAGAGGAATTTCATTCCAAGCTTCAGTTAAGTTGCACTTAAATAAATCAATATCAACGATGTCACGACGACTGTTTTGCAAGTGAGTTAGGAGTATTCTCCAGATACAGTAATCCATAACATTCAGATCGGGGCCTTTAGACGGCCACTAAGATGGACGAAGTAGTTCTGCTGTATTTTCTCAAAGAATAAATGTACCTCTTTTTTACTAGGCACCCTGTATATTATAGCTTGTGTCAAAATATAGAACTAAGACATGTTCTATGTAAAATATATATTTTCATATAAAACATTTGTAATTTAATTTTTCAAACTACATTTTCTTTATATGTTCTCATATCTTAATAAGAATAACTGTTTTTATGAAATTTTGTGAACCACATTCTTTCCTTAATAAATTCTTATATTTTATTGATTTGAATGAAGACTTATTGCATTAAACGTTTAATCGGGAATTAAATTCTCATAGCTGCCAATGTAAATGTGTGACAACGTTCTATAAGTTCCTTTATATTGATGACTATATATATGATATAAACATTATTCGGAGATGACATTAAAAAATGCCAATGTATTCTACAGAAAATTGTTTTTAAAATGGAATTTATAAAGACACTGGAATTTTGATACTGTTAGAAAATAATAGATATTAAAAATTGAAACTTGCTCCGGACTTAAATAACAATGTCGAAAATTCTTGTAATGTTTTTTCTTCTCTCTAACATTTTGAATTACTTAATCCTTTCCAGGCTTTTATATTTTATGATACGAAACTTCTATTCTATTTAAATAGATTTTGCCTCTGATAAATGAACAGGATGCTAAGAAAAGCAATGTTCCGGGTTTTCTTCAAGTACATGTATTTTATTATTGCAAATTACTTATTATAAAGGATGCACGTTGCAAAGTATAAAGAATTTACAATATTGAAAACAGTGGTTTTAATGTAAAAGCATATATTCTAAGTTGAATCTTTATAGGTAATAATACTATTGTAAAAGACTTGTATTGAAAATGCTTTTCATAAAGATATACATATATATTAGAACATGTAAAGATATGAGAAGAGATTTATCCTGCGTTGCTTGATTTATCTCAGTATTTAGAGAGGGAAACATTTTAGACAATAAAGTGGTGATGTTCCAGAAGTGTAAAGAATCGTGAAAATCTACAGGCAGAGTTCTCTTGAATTTCATTTCATTGCATTTACTTTCACGCAAATATCCTTGTTTTTCCAATCCTAGTTATTTGTGGGTTATAAAGGGTGTTCCAATAATTTGGACCGATTTTAAATGTGAAGTAAGTTTAAGCGTCTAAATGATTTTTTCTTTTTCTTTCAGATTTAACAACTTAAGCCTTTGACAATTTCAAACATGGAAATATTAAAAATCAAACAAATGTGTTAAATTTATCGAACCCTATTACGAAAATGGTCGTTCAAACAGAAATGCATTTCGTGCACATCGCAAGTCGCATCATCTCTCGAAACAGCGAAGTCAATTGGCCACAGCAATCATGTGACATGACGCTTTTAGATTTCTTCCCTTGGGGTCATTTCAAAAGTAAGGTCTATGCCAACAGCAATTCAACAGCTGAAGGATGAGATAATGAGGCATATTGGTGAAATTGAGGAGCAACTATGCAGAGACGTCAGCAAAAATTTTGACCATCAAATGGAGGTGTGGCGGACATTTGGGCGATGTTATTTTTCACACATAATTGCCGTAACTTAAATAGCATGATCCGATAGTGTTCCGGCCTTGTTAGGACCAGAAATAAATACACAAGAGAAGAATTGAGTTAAATGTATTAGTAGTAACAGTAATACAAACATATACAAAGGAGAGTGTTACAGCATGAATCTTAGGTCCTACAGTCAGAGCTAACTGCTGGACACTTCTCGATATTTATTTCTTTTTAAATACAGAAAATGTGACACAAGGCCAAAATGGGGGGATGGGGAAAAGGACTGTCTTCATCTGTCTTAACTTAAAACTTAGCTAGCCACAAACACTGGCTCAAACATACAGACAATATTCCTAACACCTGATGGAAACTTCCCTCTCCAAAAGGCAGTACCTGCTCCTATTTATAGCTGGCAGAGTCCATGCGTGCGTGGGTTAATTACCATAACAAATAGAGAAATAAATATTTTTTTATTAATAACACTGATTTATTTACTTCTGACTTTAATCCGTCTTATTAGAAACACCCTTTATAATCGGACAAACAGGGATCTTCAATTTTAGACGTGATGCAGTCTAACAGAAGAAAATTCCTGAATTCAAAACTGTATATATTCCTGCTAATCCGTCCTATGCAGCCATGCAGTTCGCAATAATCCCAATATTTGTCGATCTACAGTTATATTATAATTATTATTGTAGCGACTAAGTTCTATTATAGCCAGCTTCATAAGGTTTCTCTCTAGCTTTGAATAATTTAAAATGTGAAAAAAAAACAAAACCCAAAAACGTAGCAGACTTAATACCAATCAGCAACCCTAACAAGAAAATAATAATATTCAAAAAGAGCAAAGTGTTCTGTAGGATAGAGTGGACCTTTGATTGATTCGTTTTCTATGACTTATCAACCCTTTCCAGGCTATTTAGAGTCAACAAATATTTTTAGATTGTAAGAATTCTTTGGAGATAATAATGTTTTAGTGATATAATTATTACTAATTAACCCATATTTGGGGGAAATGTGGTGGATTCATTAATTTTCCAAGTGCATTTCCGCGTATCTAAATATAACGAACACAGCGGGAATTGTATCTCGGCTCTTCGATTAACAATTCCAAGCCATTATCCATTACACCACCGGCACATCCAAGCTTACGGCACCTGATACTCCCAAACGGCCACCATCTAGGTACTGAGCAGGTTCGACATTGCTTAACTTCGCTTATCGTACGGGAACCGGTGTTTCAATGTGATGTTTCCATAATTCTTAGAGTGAATGTTTGTGGAGTAAGCAGATGCAATGGTTCTACTTTAGAGTTTGAACAGAAAAGAAAGCCCATATAGTAATATATATATATATATATATATATATATATATGTGTGTGTGTGTGTGTGTGTGTGTGTGTGTGTGTGTGTGTGTGTGTGTGTGGAGCCCTGTCTCAGAATTGTAGAAAAATGCTAATAGATTTGAGTACTCTCACGGAAAACTCATTTTTTGTACATTGATTGTAACTTAGTTTTTGTATTTTTCGGCTCCGATTGTTTGAATCATTGTATTTGTATATATATATACTAACCAACCAGCGACGTCGTATTAGACAAGCGGTATTCTTTGAATTAGCAGGCTGTAAAATATCTTAGAATGAAATTATGGAGCCTCAACTTCAGAAACTGTTCAACAAATTTTTTCTTCCTTAAAAGGAATATTTAAAAATACATATTAACTAATAAGCTTGCGATTAATAAATCTAAATTATATATTCACCTGAAGCCTACAATATAATATATAATATTATATATAATATATAATATTGTATATAATATATAATATTATATTTAAATATAATCAATTCTTGTTTGCTAACAAGTCTTTCACTGAACCTTTGACGAGGGTGTTTGTTCGAATGTTTGTTACACAAACGAATCTGAAATTCTTACAATTACCCACATCTTTCTCATATTTATTTTGAGTATAAAACGTTACTAAAATTACGTTAACTTTACATGCGAAAAGAAGTAGCGTTTAGCTTTTTCTTGTCTTTCGTTCATTATGTCGACAACTACAACTCATACACACTAGACCTATTACATATATCAAGTAGACCTGTCACATACATCTGTACACATGTAGACGCATTTATCGTTTACCTTATACTAACGCAATTCGCTCAGTTGTACTGCAAAAAAATACACAAATCATTTTGTGTGAAGTTGTTCGCAAGGCACCTTTGTAAGTCATTTCTTTCAATTTGAAAGAAATATAATAGTCAAATAAATGAAAATTATTAAAATTTGTAGATCCGTGTTTGAAGATTAATTTAATTCTTCGTTTATACATGCATGTTCCGCTACACGCACGCGCGCACACACACACACACACACACACACACACACACACACACATATATATATATATATATATGTTGCGATGGATAATTGATAGAGGACGTGAAGTCATATGAAGAATAGTTTAGGTCAAAAGATTAGAGAGATACCCACTAAGCATGCAAAGCAGGAGAGACTATCTTCTCCATCGATTGAATAAAAAAAAATTAGCTCGAACTTTATTTACCCCAGAAACAGTTTTTTAAGCTAGAAATCGGGATTCCCAACGCAGATATTCACAAGAGACGCCACACAATTTTCCTACATGTTTTTTTACCCCAATTTCGCCTTTTTTTCCCCAATTTCGCCTTTTTTTTCCAAATTTCGCCGGTGGTCGGATGAAGAAAAGACTTGAAGTAACAGAAATGTGGTTTTAAAGAAGAAAACTGAAGAGACAAATGCAAAAGAAGCACTTAACAATGTTGAGATTGAAGGGACAATGTCAGTTTTAGATGCTGAAGAAGTAAATAAGAACATAGATAAAAAGAGATTATCGAATGAAAAGTTGCATTTACGAAAAAGAGAAAATCTAAAAGAAAAAATGCCAAAAGAATGAACTGGTGGATGTAAGCGAACAAAAGAAAAAAATGAGGGAAAGCGAGAACACGTAATTAAAACATATATACATATATATATATATATATATATATATATATATATATATATATATATATATATAAAACACTTCAAAAAACAAGAGAGCGAGTGTAGAAGATAAAATGTAACAACGCCCGCTATTTCAGTTGGTTGTCGCCTAAATACGTACCTGTCGGAGTTCATGCATTTATTAATATTAATTATCTTCTGTGAGAAAAAGACACATTATGTACTGAATATCACTTATTAATGTCTAAGAAGGTGAGTAAAAAGTAAAGAAATAAACACTAATATTCAACTAAAAACATCAAATAAAAAGTTGATGTCTACAACCATTCCAATTCCAAATCACGAGAACATATATTTATGGAAAAAGAGACCAACGGATTAGTTTGATTAAATGTTCACACATATATAACATTATTTGAGTCAATATTTACTTAATCGAATTTAATGCATTGCTTTGTTTAATTTAAGGCTACAATACAGAGAATATAAAACTCACAGCTTAATCTTATTATTTCACTTGACGATCTTGTTAAATATTTCCTGACGCTGATCTGACCAATCAAATTAAATTTAATATAGTAACAAAACATTATAAAATAATAGAGGTCGAGTATTCTGAAAATATGTGTTTCATACATTTACAGGCATAAGCTTGTGCTTCGTCTCACATATACATAAATACTGTGAAAGGGTAAGAAGATTTCAAAGTTTTATATTTTGGCTTGCAGTGTAAGAATTGGAGTCTTTCGCCTCATAGTCATTTTATCACATTGAATGAAAATAAATAAATTGTTTCATAACTAGCATTACTTGTAAAAATTTCACGGTTTCTCTATTTGAAGTTTTTGGATCAATCATAATTCTTAATTCAATAAATGAATAAGCATTTTGCAAGTTTTACGACTATACAAAATTCCTCTTTGCATTGTCGAATATTTGGGCTTAATAACATTAAAAGATAATGAAATTAACAATTAAATTATGTAAGTTTTATTTTTCTCACTAAACTCAAACAACGTCTCTGATATTTCATTTTCCACAACTTTTCAATGCAGTCAAAACGAAATGGTCCATTATTTATCTGTTGTAATGTCAGGGCCTAACACATGTACTACCTGACTTACTAACTAACGGGGGTGCAAGCAGGATTATAAAAATATAGTTACATTTATCTAAACCATTTTCTGATTATACTTTAAAATAAAATTTTGATTTGACATTCGAAAGAATTCTACAAATTAACAACCTTAAAATTAAATGTGTTGCAAAATGATTTATATGTAGAAACGAAAGAGAAGTTTTAAGTTATGGAGTCGATCGGTTCATTATCGATTTCATAGTTTGTACCTCATTCACAATTGTCATTGTATTTACTGTCAATGGTATTATAAAAAAGGATTTTTTCATTTAGATACAAACTTTTTGTTGAAGCTTGAATAAGCATGGAATAATAATAATACAACACAAAATGTACGTAACAAAATGTATTGAAACAATGAAAAAAGGTACACAATATTTACAGGTAGTTTTGGTATATTCTTGGGAAGACTGTTCCTGCAGAATGGGTTGACTAAGTCGCAGTCGGGCAGAGTCTCTGGATTCGATCTCTTAATCTTCCGTCGTCTTCCGGTATCAACCCATATTTATATGGTCGGTACTCCACTTATGTAAATTAGGTGTATCATACACAACACTTTTATTATAGACTAAAATAGGCATTAGAATTTTATGAATTTTTCTTTATAATCAGGTCATTCATAGTGAAGAATAGAAGTGAACTGTCGTAAACAGGTCTGATGAGAAAATATCATTTTCAAAGGATTTAAGAAAACTTTTAAAATTAAATTTGCATCATTTCTGAAATAAAATCAGTTGTTCTTTCACTATGATTCGACATTTCAGTTATTTAAAACCTATTAAAAAGAGTTTTCATTTAATTTGTTTAAGAGAAACTGTGGGAGTTGATTCCTATCGAGCCAGATTGTCATTTAATTACTGTTCTAAAATCGGTGTATAGTCCGAATAAATTAGAAACGCCCAGTTTGTAATGAACACAAACATATGGCCGATGTTAACACTGAGATATGCTTTTACACACAAACACACACGCGCGTGCGCGCGCACACACACACACACACATATATATATATTCATCAACGGATAAAATAAGAATAACAATTATATGTATTTTTGATTCCGTAGAATTTCCAACACAAGTATACATTAAATTAGTGAAGTGTCGAATATTCTGATGTAGATTTTATGTTCACATGAATATTCACATGAAAACCATATTCAACCAGCCATCTTAGCAGTTGAAAGTAACACCCACGCCGTAACATAAATCTCCCATGGATGGCTAGAATTGTTTTAAGTGTCTTTTAGCAGTTTGGTTAAAAAGTATAATACTTTGAATAGATAAGAATATAGCAGATATTTGAAAATAATATAAAAAGAATGTATAAAAAAGGAACACTACATGTTTTGCAATACTCAATATTTGTCCACTTTGTAAAAATTACCTCATAGTATTCGATAAATACAAAATCAGATGTGTGTTTATTCAACAAGTATAAATATGAAACCGATTTAATTCTTAATCCACAAGTAATTATTAACGACAGAATCTTTTTCACAATTATGTCTCAGCGTTGAATTAACCATGTGTTAATACTGATGTTATATACAGGATGTTCTATGGTGTTTCAGAAACATTCATATTTCGTAACCTAATAATAGCTGGCCACTCGTATTCGAGGATACCCGTCTACTAGCCAATCCCTATTGCAGACGCTGGCTTGCTCAACACCCACAGAGCCCACCTGTGGTTTATACAGCAATTATGCTGATCAGACCTTCGTTACACTTTCTGGGAGATAACGTGTCATCTATCATGATCAACAATTTGAACAAGGCTAGCACGCTCAAGTCTTCGGCCACGATGACTTGCGCCTTCGTGCTGTCGACGGCCCACAGCAGTTCTGTCTACCCAGTTTAACTTACAAGGTAAGTGGTATGACTGTTAGACACTTTCCAAAGGTACCGTACCATTTCTCGATCCTGTTTGGTAACATAAGAAATTCGCCTTCCCGACAAATCGACCATGGCGAGATTTGAACCCGGGTTTCATGCCCAGAAAGCGAACGTTCTAATCACTCGGTTATAACCCAATCGTAACCCAATAACACCATTTGTAGAAACAACTCGGAATTATATGGTTAATGCCTTATGCTTTTTTTTTCTTTTCAGGTATAAAAATGCCATTCACTGGAGAAGAAAATGCGTTTGTGTTTTAGAGTGGAACAAGTCTGTGCAGCGTGAATTTGTGAGAGAATTTGTGAAAAATGAATCAACGGCAATGCAGATCTGGAGATAGCACAGAAAGTTCAAAGAGGAAGCTACATAGTATTTGGGAAGAAACTGGACATATACCGTGTCACAAAGGGCGCATTTTACTGAAAACTTCATGAAATCCACATATCTTTAAATTTCTCATTCAAATATTGATGAATAAATCTTATTTTGTTCGGTAATAATCCCGTTTAGTTTAGACTATAATAGTTACACATATATTTACATCCTAAATGATATAAAATGTTTGAAATGTTTTAAAACACCTTGTATATTTTCAAATGAAGTTGATCTTACGATGGCCAGTGTTTGCATGCTTGAGTTAATTTTCTTTCATTTATAGTAATGGCCTTTTTCGCCACAAAACGTAAGTAGTTTAGAGAATAAGCAAATCAAATTTTTATGAAATCTTGCACTTTCTTGAAACAACGGTTCCCGTACGATCACCAAAGTTAAACGACATCGACGTTGGTCAGTAATTAGGTGGGTAACCGCCTGAGAATACCAGGGGCTGTAAACATGGATGTGCAATGGATGACGACTCGAAATTGGAAATCGGAGAGCCGAGTTCCAATTCCAATCAGGTTTGTTTTATTCACTTACCCGTAAATGCCCTTGAGAAAGATATGAATCCACATCTTCTCCATCAGCTAAGGGTTAACTAGTGAAACTTGTATCCGTAAATCTTTATTATTTCCTAAAAATTTTACAATCTAAAAATATATTCTAGGTTTAAATAACATGCAAAAGGTTGATAATCCGTGAAAAACAAATCGATCAATCTTACTCTCTTTTCAGTGTTTTTCCTCAGATACAGACAGAGGCATACACACACATTCAGACATTTTACTATCTGCCTGATGAGCTTACAAATGTACGACGAAATAACAAAACAGTTGAATGGTTTTGATTCTCTTCTGATGAATTCAGAAAGTGGCAGAGCCTCTAGACTCTCTCTGTATATATATATATATATATATATATGTGTGTGTGTGTGTGTGTGTACATACAAGTACAAGAGAGGACACTGAGGTCAATACCGAGTGTTGACTGTTCCATTCTTGAACGCAATATTCAGGTCCGGGCTTTTAGCGTCTGGGTTCGACAGCCATGGAGATAGACGCAAGTCAGAGTTGAAATACATCCTGAAAATAAACTCTCACATAAAAGGTATAAACAGAGATTTGGGTTTACTCAAAGAGTACACCTTTCACAAGGAAGCCCATTACCACCAACACCGCTCCACGAATGAGTAGCCCCCAACCCCAATATTTATAAACAAAATTTTAACAGACATTCCTCCCTCTACTATATTTTTCTGCACTGACACCTAGGATTCCGAAATTTTATAAGATAGCTAGCGTATATTTACACTTATCACACTTAAACACACAAAGCATCTATTTTTGCAGACACCTTTTCTCACTTTTCTTCCTGCATTGTTATTACCACAATTATATTTCTATCTGTTTATTTATTTTTTGCACCCCCATTTATGGACTATTGTTTTCCAAAAGAATTTTTATTAAAATATTTTATCCTTTTTTTGCGGTTCCTATCCATTTTTATACTTTCATTTTTTTTTATTACCTACTTGCCTTCTCACTCTCTACCCACCTAGTTAAATCTATCAGCACTGACCTCATATGGGGCGTCTTTCCCACCCGCAAATCCTAAAAGCCTTTTCCCCTAGTTCAAAATCACATTCCCCCAACTTCCACACCGATAAAGGCAAAACAGACTAATGCGTTCACAACAAGTTCACACCAGTCCCCCCCAAAAAAAAACAAAAAAACAAAAAAACAAAAAACACACTGTTGGTGAGTCTTCCCTGTTTCACTGTTTATTTCTCGCACTGCTGATGAAGGACACAGGTGTGCCCGAAAATTCTGGACTAATAACATTAATCTTTGTGCTGTCTTGTGATTAACAATTAATATATAATTCTTTTTCACACTGATCATATTGGTACCTTTTCGTTTTCCCTTGTTTTATTAACCAATCTATCTATTTTAAATAGTATAAGAAGCTCACGTGAACTCTTCCTCTCTCTCTCTCTCTGTATATATATATATATATATATATATTCCCAAAAAAATTTAGCTTGAAGATGGAACAGAGCTTACTTTAATTTTGCTTGAAAATGGAACAGAGCTTACTTTAATTCAATTTAATTCAAATAATTATATTGAAGTTTTCGGCTCTTGTTTTGAAACATGAGACCTCTTTTGTAGCGTGTTGGAATCATATTTTTAAATAAATAATTATATATATATATATATATATATATATATAGGGTGTCCATAAAGTCTCTTCATAATTTAAAAAATATATTACAATGCCATTTGGTGACATATCTTAATAAGATTTGTTCTGTGTAAACCTTAGTTATCAAGGTTTTTAATCACATTGCATTTGTTTATTTCAGGTATGCTGTTGATGAAAGAGGTACTGTTAAATGAACCCCTAACATTTGCATGGCCCAATTCCTTGTTCACCAGATATCATTCCCCTGGACTATCGGGTTATGTTAAAGACATCGTGTATCGGAGAATCACAGATTTAAAGCAAAAGACCACTGATGCCATTGACACCATTGATAAGGCTGTGTTACCTCGAATGTGGTAAGAAATGCAGTTGCTTAATGCAACTAATGGTGCCCATATAGAGGTATATTAAATTCGTTAAAAAATTTCAATATCTACTCCTAATTTTGTAAAACGTCCACATATTTGTCCGTTCATAATCTTTTGTAATAATGTTTTAAATTGTAAAGAGACTTTATGGACACTCTGTATATATATATATATATATATATATATATATATATATATATATATATATATATATATATGTGTGTGTGCTTGTGTGTGTGTGTTGTTTACATGCAATTAACGATGTTTATGTTTTAGCATTTTCCGAAGCGAAACCAAAAATTCCACTTGCTTTATCATTCAAAAACTGACTGGGTCAAATTCACAAAAGGTCATATTCCCCAAGCTACAAAAATCGAAAATCCCAAACAATATAAAATACCGTTGATGGACACTCTGTATACATATATATATATATATATATATATATATATATATATATATATATATATATGTGTGTGTGTGTGTGTGTGTGTGTGTGCATGTGTGTGTGTGTGCTTGTGTGTGTGTGTTGTTTACATGCAATTAACGATGTTTATGTTTTTAGCATTTTCCGAAGCGAAACCAAAAATTCCACTTGCTTTATCATTCAAAAACTGACTGGGTCAAATTCACAAAAAGGTCATATTCCCCAAGCTACAAAAATCGAAAACCTCAAACAATATAAAATACCGTTGAGTTATAACGTAAATTCCGTATTATCAAGGTCGAATCGGATATGTCATTTTCAACCTTTTAACACATTCCATTTTTCCAGTTTTCGTATCTTCTTTCAAATCTGTTTGAAGGCTTATGCTCCAGCGGTTTCTTTACACACACTCTTATGTATATTTATCAATGTCTTTTTTTTTGTATCTGATGTGCGTGGGATATTTTTTGTTCTTTTGTTCTTACAGAGTTTTCAATATTATCTATCTATCTATCTATCTATCTATCTATCTATCTATCTATCTATCTATCTATCTAAACACACACACACACACACACACACACACACACACACACACACACACACATATATATATATATATATATATGTATAATCAGCATTTCCCGCCAAGTAAGGCGAGAGCGCCACTAGCACGCAAGGGGTTACAGGAAGTGAAAGTAGAAGAAAAAGAAAAGAGAGGTGTTTTAGGAACGGATACTGATGGGAGGCAGTGAGGTTTTCTATAGTGGGTAAATGACAGCAGTTTCGTTTTGGAAGCATTAAAATTTACAAGCTATTTCCTGTCCTAGTCAACCACAGATTGGAGGTCCTTTTCCGGTAACTTTGGCAGTAATGCTGCATTTACCAAATACTATTAAAAACGACAGGCGTTTTGTGTTTTTTTTTTTAGCACAAAAACAACCATCAATAAATAGGAACAATTATAACTAAAGATCCCGCATCATTAGATGTATATAAAATTTATATAAATGTATATAAAAAGAACACACGTTACAATACACTTTACTCCTTCGCAAGACGGACGAGTTCTACGAAACTCACCAACTGACTCTACTTACTCTGATGATGACTTCAGAAGGTCGAAAACTTGGTCTATATTCTTCATTTCTTGCACTTTTTCACCGAAATGAAGATCGGGTAATATGTGACAGAATTTCCTCTTTGTCGGAGAAGGCTTATGCGTAATTTGGAAAAAGTCAATCAATAAAATTAATTTACACAAAATGTCTGTCGTTTATAACAGTATTTGCTGCATGTATATATATATATATATATATATATATATATATATATATATATATATATAACGTCAAAATAACGTCAGTATTTGTCACGTGTGAAGAATATTGTCATTATATCTGTGTTGATGTCTTCAACTATTTTCTTTTGATTTTATGAATCTGTTGTGTATATTTGTTTGTAAGAGCAGTAATTCAAAAATATGAAAATAGCGTTTCTCTACATTCCAGTTGATAGGTACATTCTGTTTTTGTTCAATTAATTTCATTTTCGAATTTTGCTTTGATAAAGTCCACATTGGACGAAACGCGTCAGCAATTACCAGTTTTCCTATTGTCATTTTTATTCATAAATATTGTTTTCTCTACTGGTTAAATCGGAGAAATTTTCATATATATATATATATATATATATATATATATATATATATAAGAATAGGATCAAATATGAATCAGAGAGAATAGTGATTTTTAAGCGTAAATTAAATGTGGCACTTAGCCGAAAATATGAGAAACTCAGTGAGGATCGAACTCGCTATTCAGTTGTAATTGTTTTAACGAGTCAAGCTTGCTAAACATTACACCATGTCGAGGTAACCCCGAATCCGGAAAAATGATAGGATATAGAATAAGACGGTTTACATGAACTTATGAGCCTGTAGGCATTTCTATATTTCATAGAAGCTGTCATATTGTCGAATGAATAGTTTAAAGAAATATATTTATATGCACATGCCTTTGTGCGTCATCGTGGCTGGGAAGATATCTCAGTCTCAGTTTTTCTAAAATGTAAGTGCACTTCCTTATATAATATTCCTACATTAGTATTTAAAACTGAACTCAAAAATAGGTACATGATTTTATATGGAAATATATTTTATACCGATAGGCATATGTGTATCAAAGAAATTGAAGGCAGTTTGAAACATATTTCATTATATACAGCTGACAAGGAATTTATTGAAACAAAGTATCTATAAACACCAAACAAAATGCCGTTAGCAATTAGACGGATTTAGAAACGTTACTGTATATTCATATGGTCAACAGAAAAATTACGTCAATTACTTTATGATAGGAACCACACAGGGGATAAAGGCGTTAGTTAGATCCAATGACAGGACCCAAAGAGTGTGAGTTCAATACCCGGTTAAAGCAGTTGAGAACTTTCAGA